TTTTTTGATTTTTCTCTCAGGTCTGACCGGCCCAGATAGCAGCACACCTAGCCACTGCCTGCCTGCAGAGGCTTTGCTGAGCTGCTTTGGGCTCTGCCCAGCTGCCCTGTGCTCTTCCCTGCAGTCCTGTTTATATGGGCATAGTTAGAACTGTCTTGGCAACGGTGGCCCCGCCTCTGTTATGGCGGACTCTCTCTGTTATGGCAGGTTGCCTCGGCAATGGCGGGTTGCCTCGGCGACGGAGGCCTGCCTCTGTAGCGGTGGAGAGTCTCAGTAATGGCAGAAGCCCCTCCCCCACGGAGCCGGACCGTCCTGGTTCAGCTGTGCTTGGTTTGGAGGGCTCAACCCAGAGGGTTTCCAATTACTGTTTTTGTTTTTGTTGTTGTTGAGAGTGGAGGGGTGGGACCAACTGAGCCTGATCACCTGGCTCCCTGACTCAGAATCTTTTAAGTTGAACGACCCCGCGTTCCAGTCACTTGTTGAAAAGGCGCCGGGATCTCCTGTGCTGGGACTCACTGAGTCGGCTCAAACAGCAGCGCCGGCTCCTGGCAGATTTTTTGCCTAGCAATCTCCTGGCCTGGCTCACTATTTCAGATGAATGGGCAACTCTGCCATCTCAGGGCTCTGATTGCCAGCTAAGAGGGCTCCCAGACCAGTGGCTTTTGTACGGAGAACCACCGCAGCAGGGTGTGGTCTAAGCAGCTGCGCGGGCCAAATCAGCCCCGTGGGGGGCCAAAACAACCACACTGGCCGGGACTGCGGTGCTGGCAACCCCTCCGCCTGGGTATCTCCTGGTCTGTGGGCAATAAAAATTCATCTAGAAATGCGGCGTCCACTCACCCTCTGCACTTTCACTGGGAGCTGAAGTCCTGAGCTGTTCTTAGGTGGCCATCTTCCTGGCATTCCCGTTCATTGGTTTTTATCTCTACTCTTTGCTATCTCTATTATAGAATACTATATCCGAATTCTTTCATTTTCTTTAAATTTAATTTTTAATCTAATTTCTTGATATGAATATTTAGATAATTTATTTTTTAGTCTGTTTTCTTTCCCAATACTTGCATTTGAGTTTATAAAGCTTCCATTAATCATGCTTTAGTTGTAATCAATTTATATAAATATTTATATTAATTTGTTTTTAATATATTTTTATTTCTATTGTAAATTCTTTGAGCCCTGTATAACTTAGAATTTCAAAGCAGTTTTTGGGATTTATTTTTGCCTTTTAAAAATGGACATTTAATTAAATTCCATTGTTTTCAGCGAATTTTAATCCTTTGAATTTTGTTGAGGCTTGCAGGCTCAGCATATGGTTAATTGTTGAAAATGTTCCAAGTAAAATCTCTCAATTTTGTCAGTCTTCTTTGTTTTCTTTTTTTGAGATGAAGTCTCACTCTGTCACCCAAGCTGGAGTGCAGTGATATAATCTCTGCTCACTGCAACCTCCACCTCCTGGGTTCATGTGATTCTCCTGCTTTAGCCTCCTGAGTAGTTGGGATTACAGGTGTGCCACCATGCCCTGCTAATTTTTGTATTTTTAGTATAGAGACAGTGTTTCACCATGTTGGTCAGGCTGGTCTTGAACTCCTGCCCTCAAGTGATCTGCCCATCTCAGCCTCCCAAAGTGCTGGGATTACAGGCCTGAGCCACTGTGCCCAGCTATTTCACCTTCATTTTTGAAGAACATTTTCACCAGGCCTAGATTTCTAGGTTGGCATTATTTTGTTTAGCACTTTAAAGATATAATTCCATTGTCTTCCCACTTCCACCAGTTAGTTAGATAGGAGGAATAAGTTCAAGTGATCTGTTGTACAGCAGGACAGTAATGACAGTATATTATATTTTTAAAAATTTTTACTTCAAGTTCTGGGATCCATGTGCAGGATGCGCAGCTTTGTTACACAGGTAAACATGTGCCATGATGATTTGCTGCACCTATCAATCTGTTATCTAGGTTTTAAGTCCCACATGCATTAGGCATTTGTCCTAATGATCTCCCTCTCCTTGTCCCGCTAACCCCCAACAGGCCCCAGTGTGTGATGTTCCCTTCCCTGTGTCTATGTGTTCTCATTGTTCAAGTCCCACTTATGAGTGAGAACATGCGATGTTTGGTTTTCTGTCCCCGTGTTATTTCGCTGAGAATGATGGCTATTGTATTCTTAAAAGTGCAAAGATGGTGAATGTTAAGTGTTCTCACTGCAAATGTGATAACTATAGTAGGTAATGCCTTTGTTAATTAGCGAGGTTTAAACATACCACAATGTATATATGTACTTCAAAATATACACAATAAATACATATGATTTTATCTGTCAATTAAAAATGTCAGTTGACAGTATTATGTAGTTGTTTGGTGTAGTGTTCTATATATGACATTTAGGTCAGTTTTATCAATTGTGTTCAAAATCCTATAATTTTATGGTCTTTCTACATATTCTTTCAGTTGCTGAGAAATGTGTGCTGAAATTTCATGTGCTGATTTTAGTTTTCTCTACTCACATTTTTCAGTTGAGTTAGCTTTTCCTGTTGGTTTTGAGTTGTTATTAGGAGCCTTTAAACTTAGAAATGTAATGTTTCTCTTGTGGATTGACCCTTTTACTATAGGAAGTTCCCTATCCTATGGATACTAATGATTCTTAAGTCTATTTGTTTGTTACTAGTGTAGCTGTTTCTTGTAAACAGACTTCAGTCGTGGTTTTTTTTTTTTTTTTTTTTTTTTAACTTTTATTTACTGGGACAATCTTTTTTTTAATTTTCAATTTTTTGATTTTCTATTTTTATGGGTACATAATAGTTCTAAATAGAAAATCTTCTATTTTGCTTTTTATAATTTTATATTCCCCAAGGTAGTTTAAAGTTTATTATTTCTGAAAACATGATAAGTATTGTGGTTTTAAAATCTCTTCAAATATACTTACTATCAGAAATGTATGGGTGGTTTTGTTTTTGTTATATTCTGTTTCTATTAGTTGTTATTCGCATTGTCTTACTTATTTTTATGCCTCCTTGAGTGCTTACTGTTAATTTTCAATGGAAAATTTTATAGGAATTTCTTAAGATTAGTGACATTTTTCTACTAGATAAACTTTGGTTTTGCTTCTGTCAGGTACCAGGGGCACACATATGAAGACCAAATTCAGGTGGAGTATTTGGCTTACGCAGTTCATGTTTAGCAAAGATCATTGGGGATCAGGGCATGTGAGGAGGTTGTTGAGGGGTTTGGTCTATGGCCACTTTTCAAATACTTTTTCAACTTTGTTCAGCAAGACTTCTCTGCTATTTTGGGGCAGGGTACTTTGTATATCTTTTTGCTTTTACCTGAAGAGCATAGTAGCCTATCAAAGACCTAGTTTAATGTGGAGAAAGTCTCTTTTAAGTCTTGGTCCCTTGAGTGGATATGAATGAAGCCTTGTCTTTTTTCTCTTTCAGTCTACACAGGCCAGGGATTGGATTCCAAATGGATATCACTGGCAAATGGGCCTGAAGGTATAAGCAGTTTTGGCGCTCTTCAGAATTCCACTTGTAAATTTCAGGTTGCAGGCTTTCATCTAAAAATTGATCCAGTAGTTCCAGCTGATGTTTCAGCTTTTTAATGCCTTTAAGTTCATTTTTTTTGTCTTTTAATATAAAACTTTTGTTTTCAGAGAAGAGTTGATCCAAATATCCATACTTACCATCACCAAAAGCAGTCTCCCTATTTTCTGTTCCTCAGTCCTGCTTGCTTGCTTGCTTTTTTTCCTTTCTTTTTCTCTTTCTCCCTCCTTCCCTCACTACCTTCCTTTCTCCTTCCTTCCTTCCTTTCTTCCTTCTTTCTTTCTTTTCTTTCTCTCTCTCTCTCTCTCTCTCTCTCTCTCTCTCTCTCTCTCTCTCAGAGTACAGTGGTGCAATCTCAGCTCACTGCAACCTCCGCCTCCTGGGTTCAAATAATTGTCCTGACTCAGCCTCCTGAGTAGCTGTGATTACAGGTGCACCACCACCCCCAGCTAAGTTTTGCGTTTTTAGTAGACACTAAAAATTTCTCCATATTGGCCAGGCTGGTCTTAATCTCCTGATCTTATGGTCTGCCCACCTCAGCCTCCCAAAGTGCTAGGATTACAGATGTAAGCCACTTTGCCTAGCCTCAGTCCTGCTTTCTATGAACTTGGTGCATTCAAATGTCAAGTATTTCTTAGGCTCTGCCATAAGAAATATCTTCTATTAGGAATCCCTTTGCCTTAGGGAGTGGGTTTTCAATTTCCTCAGCAATTTTTGATGAGTTTGTTAACTCCCTTTTTCTCTCCATGTGGATCAACCCTTTTACATTATTATTATTTTTTTTTCTTTTGAGATGGAGTCTCGCTCTTGTCACCCAGGCTAGAATGCAGTGGCATGATCTCGGCTCACAACAACTTCCACCTCCTGGGTTCAAATGATTCTCCTGCCTCAACCTTCCGAGTAGCTGGGATTATAGGCATGCACCACCACACCCGGCTAATTTTTATATTTTTAGTAGAGATGAGGTTTTACCATGTTGGTCAGGCTGGTCTCGAACTCCTGACCAGCTTACATTCTTTTACACTAATCTTAGTAGTATTTTGAAAGGAGCTGAAATAGATGCCTCTTTTTAATCTTATCATTCTTTATCGGAAGTTCAGACTGTTAAAACCAGATCAAAAACTGTGAAAACACACCACTGTGATTCTAATGTACATATGGAACTTTGAACTGCAGCCATACTGCTGTACCTTTAAGTTTTTAGTATATCATTTTATATTTGTATTACACTGATTTGTGTATATGTTTTATCTCTTGTGTTCCTGTGAATTCCTAAAGGTGGGAGTTATAATGTGTTTGTTTTTCTCTTCCACAATGCCTGGCATAATGTCTGTCAAATATTACGGATTTCATAAATGTTAGTAAAAGAAAATACATGTGTATGCACAGCATTATCTGGATAGTGCTGATTGAGTGCTAATAAATATTCTCTATTTACGCCTCACTATATAGATCAACATACTTACCATGAATAGGACAGTAATGGCTTTACACTGACTATTTTGGTGAGAATAGCCACAAATGTAGTTTTGATCTAGGATTAAACCAAATGTGAGGAGAATGATTCCAGCTGTTGCTCCCAGGGCACTAAGTAAATTCATGATTCGGCTCAGTATTATCTGAAATAGAATAAGAACATAACAATGTGACTTAGGCCTAGACTGTACTATAAACAAAGCAGTGAGTGCAGAGAATGGAGAGCAGGATCTTAGTCACAGCATCGCAATGACACGAGGCAGCTGTGTGATCCTATGTGCATTGCTTCACATCTTTGGGCTTCAGGCCCTTATCTACCCAATGAGGAGATCTGGTGAACTTTTAATAATGTTTCCATGCCCCATATTCTATGCATAAGTTAATTCTCACTCAGTTGGGAGGAAGGGTGTGCCTAGGACAATTGCATTTTGATGCTCTGGTGAAAGTCATGGTCTACAACTACACTTTTGTTTTAAGACTCCTATGTTTAACTAAATTCTGCACTTCTCTGCCATTTTAATTTCTTCCTAAAATGAAAAACTAAGGATTTTCAGTCCTTTGCTAAAATCATGTATTGGCATAGTAATATCTTATGTCTTCAATTATTTGAGTAAAGTAAAAATATTCTACTTATAACTTATCTACATCTTTACATTCAGTAGCACTGTATTCTTTATTTTGATATTCTGTTATGGTTTAGATTGTCTACAGTTTGCCTTTTATATGAGTCAAAGTAGTGCCTGTCAAAGTGCCTAGTAAATACCCAAAAACCAAAAAATAAGTAACTGGAATATTGAAATAATTCTACCATTAATTGGCTGGAAATTTTAACAAGCTATTTAACAATTCTAAGCCTGAGTGTCTTCATACATAAAATAATAACTGAACTAGATGACCTAGAAAGACTTTCTCTTCTGGCACAGTGGCTTATAATTCTAGAAAAACAGGAAGCAAATGCTGTTTATTGGTATCAGTACTTGATAGTTTGTGGAATTATGGTGACCTAATGACTTAAATTTTTTTTCAAGGACAGGATAAATTATTTAAAAGCTATATATTTTTAATAAAGTAGAAATGTAACTTATTACAAAATATATTTTTAACTAAGTAGAAATATAACTCACCAGAGTTTCTGTGGTTTTCCTTTTCAGTGCAATTAGGAAGGCTCCAGAATTAATGAACTGTTAAGAGGAATAAATATCTTAATGATGGCCATGTTTAGCTGATGTTGAGTTCTTACAGAGTAGACTTCCATGCATTTCTTTTACATGCCTGCCTTCTGAGTTTGCACACTCCTCAGGGAAGTGAGAAGGTGAGTTGCTTTATATGAGTTTCCAAAAATGGATTAGTGGATAAAACACTGGACTGGAAATCTGCTTTAGTCCTATTTATTTGAACACTAACATTTTTAAAAAATGATACAGTGCTTTGGTTTGCTCATCCATGTTCCTTTGATAGCTATTGTGGACTCAGCTTTGATCTCATGACACAGTGATGTCAAGTCAGTTTATAATAATTAAGATTGGATTCCATCTTACCACAGTCCAGTGTGTTCTCTTGGATGGGAACATAAGGCAGGGTTTCAGCAAATGTGCTGCTAATTCTTTAAAAGCTCCAATTATTTTCTTGGAAGTGGGTCACATGTGGTAGCATCATTGTCTAGTGGAAATTTCAAAGCTAATTACGGGACATCCATCTTTAAATTTGCAGCCCCTTTGTGAGTATTTTCCAGCCTCATCTTTCCATCCTCACTCCCTATGCTGAACTTTGATAGTTCATGTAATAGAAAATGCTCTCCCATTCCTTCAGCCTTTGCTCATATTTCTCTCTTGGCATGCAATAAGACATCCTGATCCTTACACTCAGGCATCCCGACTCCCATCTTCTGTGGTGTCCTCATATGATGAACCACTCACCCTTGAAAACTTGCTCAAGCTAGAAATGTCTCTGGGCAATGTCCTCTCTGTTTTGTTGGTGCCTTTCCTATGGAGACAGCCCCTGTGTCTATTCTCCCTCATCATACTTCCTGGCAATTGTCTGATTCCTCTCTGAACTGAGACCTTGAACTCAGGGACTGCTTTCTTCTTTCTGAATCCATTGTCATGCCCATTATCTGCCACTAAATTAGGTCCTAAGTTAATGTGTATCAATTGTGACTTCATTGGGTTGAATAAATACCTCTCTGTCACTCAAAAGGTATATTTGAGAAACGCTCTCCACTCACTTCTGTAAAGAATAAATTGTTCCTTTGTCTCTGCCTAGATAAGCACTTTCTGCACCTCTGCAATAACATTCATCACACTGCCTTGAAGTAACCTGTTTACATGTTTTCTTGCTAGACTGAGAGGTTTTTGAGGGAGAGGCTCATTGCCTTGCTCTGTGTATCTGGCTTGTAATAGATGGTAACTAATTTTGAATGAATGAATAGCCAAATAAACAATGTCAAGCAAAAGAAATATTCCCAAAGGAACTTCAAGACCTGATGGTGGAATATCAGTGACTGTGATGAATTAATGGGGAAATAATTTCAACAAAGTCAAATTTTTGTGCTTTTGTATCATACAACTGGATCTAGCTTATTTCATTGCTAAGAATTCTCTAACATCCTGGTTAGCATGGCTTCAAATTGAACTTGATTGACTATACTCACCAAAACAGAGCCCCAGAATGGATATCCTGAAAGAAATATAAAGGGAAACCTTGGATATGGTTTTACCAAGGTGAAAAGGAAGATAACTCCAAAAGAAAAGGTCATAATTCCAAACAGGATCTGGATAGTCTGCAAATAGAGGGAAAAAGTTATGGTGAGGAAAAACAAAGTGCCCTTCTGTTTAGAAGATCTTCTTTTCATTAAAAGGATTTGGCAATTATTATCTTTTGGTAATTAAAGGAAGAATAATAGAAGTCCCTTTATGATGCTCCTGGGTACTTTCCTTTCTTTTTTTTTTTGAGATGAAGTCTCACTCTGTCACCCAGGCTGGAGTGCAGTGGCTTGATCTCAGCTCCCTGCAACCTCCACTCACAGATCCAAGTGATTCCTGCCTCAACCTCCTGAATAGCTAGGACTACAGGTGCTCGCCACCATGCCCAGCTAATTTTTTGTATTTTTAGTAGAGACAAGGTTTCACCATGTTAGCCATGATGGTCTCGATCTCCTGACCTTGTGATCCGCCTGCCATGGCCTCCCAAAGAGCTGGGATTATAGGCGTGAGCCACTGAACCCGGCCCCAACTCTTGGGTACTTTCTTGATTTCGCTATCTAGTATTTGATGATAGGTAAAATGATCTAAATCATTGCTGCTGAAAATGTGGTCCACAGTTTGGCAACATCAGGATCACCTGGGAGCTAGAAATGAGAACTATCAGGCCCTATTCCATGCTTACTGAACAGTCTCCAGCTGAGGCTGGGAAATCTGTGCCTTCATAAGCTCTTCAGCTCTTTAGCCCATAATTACAAACGTTTGAGAAACACTGAATTCTAAATCACTATACCAGCCTGGCCTCGAGTGTGATTGGACTGTGAGGAACTCTGCCTGGAGATGACCAATTCTCTGAGCCTGTTGAAGGTATTGTCACACTCTCAGGTCCAGAGCACTCCTCATCTTTTCAGTTTATTTATTTTTTTCCCTCTCTGAGCCACTCTTGTGATTCACTGTGACACCAAGCAGTGGTTTGACAAGTGCTAGGGAGGACTAATGAGAATGACATGCAAAAATGGAAGGTGTAAAACGTGTGAATCTGTGTGCTCTGCTCTCTTCTTCTCAGTCCACCTTCTCAGTCTGAGTAGTCTCACTTTTTAAGTAGGTGAGTCCTAAATGACAGCATTTTTTGTCAAGTACAGACCCACATTATTAGTTCTTGCCAAACATCCTCTCTAAATGTCCCACTAACACTCTATATTCACTTTGTCTTAAAAGAAGAATTGGCATGGGCTCCTACCTTAAAACATATGCGAAGAGATAATTTCCCTATCCTGTTACCTGCCTCAGTAGAATAAACATAGGGGCAAGTCTTACTTACCCCTAAGACTTTCATTTTTGTAGCAAATAATTTTTGCAAGGGGCTTTGAGTTGAAAAGGTCATGGCTGAAAAGTCTGTTGACTCATCTTCTGGACCACTGATTTCTGGAGGAAATACCAGAAACACTGGACTGTGTGCAGTGCTTGAATCCATGGTCGTGTTGTTGATAATTTCAAAGGAAAGGATTTGGTTGGCACTTCAGTCTAGACCATGTTCGTTTCTTGTGCTAAGGCTGCTGGGAGCACTGGAATTGTTTGCTTTGTCTTGGAATTATAGAACCATAGAGTCACAGAGGCATAGAATCTCAGGACTGCGTGAGATCCCAAGATGGCTATAATTAAAATGCCAGGGAATGGGGATCAGAGAACCTGACAAGTAGCCCTAGTTTAGTTAGGAACTTACCGTGACTTTGGGCAAGTCACATCCTCTCTCCTGGTTTTCGATTCCTCATATATACATTGACCAGATTGGACTAGATGATCTACATATAAAGACATTTTAGGGCCAAGTGCTGTGGCTCATACCTGTAATCCCAGCACTTTGGGAGGCTGAGGCGGGCAGATCACCCGACGTCAGGAGTTCGAGACCAGCCTGGCCAAACCCAGTCTTTACTAAAAATATAAAATATTAGCCAGGTGTGGTGGTACATGCCTGTAGTTCCAGCTACTTGGGAGGCTGAAGCATGAGAATCACTTGAACCCAAGAAGCGGAGGCTTCCTTGAGCTGAAATTGCACCACTGCACTCCAGCCTGGGCAACAGAGCGAGATTCTGTCTCAAAGAAGAAAAAAAAGACATTTTAATTACTGAATGGCAACTAGAAAACTAGATACACATTTATTCCAGTTCCCTATCTTCAGACACAGCAAGAATGCAAAATCTCTCAGGCCACAGAACAAATTAACCACTTCTTGAAATATAGATAGCATCTATTTTTCCTGTCCCTTTGTGTTTTTGCCACCTGATTTAAGTAGCTTAACTGTAACAAATCCCTCAAAATGTAGTTACTTCCAGCAACCACCACCGGCTTTTGTTTACATATCTGTGGGTCCTTGTGTGTGGTTTGTCTCGTCTGGGGCTGCTCAGAACTTCTCTACCAGGCTCTCTTGTGCAACTGTGGTCACCTGGTGGAGTGCCCAATTACGTGAGTTAGGATGGACTCACTCATGTTTCTGGCAGTTGGCACACTATCAGTTCTCTTCCAATTCACAGATACTTTTCAAACCTCTGCTGAGTCATGTGTGCTAATGTCATATTAGCCAAGCAAATTTCATAGACAACCCAGATTCAAAAGGGAAGAAAATAGGCCCCTTAATGTCTTCATGGGAGGATCTGTATTTTCATCTTGAAAGGCCAAGAATGAAGGGAAGGGAACAATTTGTGCCTATTTTTAACTGTACCTTGTCATTTTCTGGTGTTTCCTATGGAGATCAGGTCTTCCTTAATTGAACCTCATGATGTGACATCCTCTAGCCACTTGCCAGTTAGAACATTTGAAAAGACCACCCCTCCATCACAGTTTCTTTTCTCTGAATGTACCCATCTCTTGTTCCATTTCCTATGGATATTGAATCATAATGGTGATTATCCTTCATGAACATCATCTGATGTTGCGTTAGTATTCCCTAAGTTAAGCACGCTCTGTTGCAACATACTTTTATAAAATACCATTTTACCCTAATTATTCAGGTTTTAACTTGGCTCTAGACCTTTCCTGATTTTCATGTTTTCTCCCTCTAAGCATGACGACTAGCACAGTGTTCTAATAGTTATCTGACGAGTGGTAGGAATGTAGCTTTAATGTTTATTATTCTTTAATTCATGCAAGCCAATTCTAGTGATGCAGTGGAAGATTTACTCTTTGGAGAAGAGAAACCTAGAATGAACCCCAAGTCCTTCTATTTACCAGTTATGGGGTCTAGGCTAAATTACCTATTAATTTACATATATAAAAACATTACATTTCTTTTATGAGAATAAAAATTGTTATACAGTTTTTGTGAGTGAATTTTAAAGTACCTGGAATGTAGTAGATACTAAGTGAATTGTAGTAATAATAAAAATAAAAGGAATACATATTATTTCTCTTATCATTGCCATTTTTAGCATTGTGGCCAGATACTTTGTCTTGCTTTATGTTTGCATTATTTCCAAAGTTCATTTTAGTTGATTCTTTACAGGCTAAATGTATTTCTATGAGCTTAGCTATAAACTGGAAACGTCACACTGAGTCAGTCCAGACATTATTTTATAATTTCTCCATTTCAGGGTGGCTGTGGAACTCCGTGGCTTTCTGCTAATAAATACATTCATACATTGATGACATGTATCTGTTGAGTACTTAAAAAATTTTCCATATCCTTGGATTTCTTCTTCTTTTCCAATCTGCCAAAACCTACACTTTTAAAGGAAAGTACTCTAGCCTTAAGGTGGTTTATGGAATATTGTATGTCTTTGTATTCATTCATCTTCTAAAATTAAGCCTTAATTTCAAGCTTCTTATTGCAAGGTATTTCAGAGAAGTTATGATGATGCAAGGGATCAAAGTTCTCTGACCCATAGTCAATAGGATTAGGCCTTTCCTCACAGCCTCTCTCTGACTCCCTTGCTGGAAAGTTTTAAGAAAAATACTGTATTCTTTCTCTCATTCTTCTCTTATTGCAACTGAAAGTAATTTTTTTGTTTTGTTTTGTTTTTGAGTTTCTTTTGTTTTTCTCTGTTGCAAAGCCCTCCTTTAAAAAGATCCATATCCGTACTCTGGGGAGAACAACTCTGGGAGCCGAGTTAGAGCAGTCAACTCTTGTGGCCGGATGTCACCTGCCCAGGAGTCCCCAAATCCCCTAGTTTTCTTTTGTTTTTTTAAATGATAAAGAATAATAGTGTCTTTAAATCTTATTTCATGAATGACGGTAACGTTCAGCGTCACTCTCAATGTCTCCAGACATTTCTTGGAAGGAGCAAGTGAACAGGAGGGAAGGGGAGCAACTGAGGCTTCTATCATTCTGAAGTGGTCCTCAAGCTCTGATTTTCTGCCTTATTGAATTCTCAGTTTTTTCTGCATGTCTGGGCTTCTGTCTATGATGACTGTTTTTCTCATTGCATTGTCCTGCTGGTTATCATCCTAAGTCTTCACTACTCTAAGGTAGTATCAGCACAATCTTGCATATATAGTATACTTTAAAAATAAGATAGAAGACCCTTCTACAGAAACTACAAAGGCAGCCCCAGGGATTTCCTATTGTATCTTCTGACATAAATACTCTAATTACTATTTTTGGACTTACACATAGATATTAGATATTCCCTTTGTGGCTACCTAGGAATTTTATGTTTAAAGAACAAAAAGATACTTTGTTTCATTGTGGTCAGATGAGATTTTTATGACCTCACACCCTTTCCCAACCTGCAAGAAGAAAAAGGGTATATTAGTCTGTTCAGGCTAGAATGACTGCTTCCTTTTATTTCTTCCAATTTATTTCTCATACTTTTGGAGGCTGTGAATTCCAAGGTCAAAGTGTCAGCTAATTTGGTTCCTTGTGAGATTTCCCTTCCTGGATTGGCAATGACTGCGTTCTTTTTATGTCTTCACTTCGTCTTTCCTCTGTGTGCGCACAGGCCTGTGAGCACACATGCACACACACACACACACACACACACACACACACACACACACAGAAAAAGAGCATGAGAGAGAGTTCTGGTTTCTTTTCATATAACGGCATTAATCCCATCATGAAAGATTCACTTTCATATCCTCATCTAAACCCAATAGCTTCAAAAATTCCATCTCCAAATATCATCACACTGTGAACTAGGGCTTCAACATATGAATTTAGAGGGGGACACAGTTCCGTCAATAGCAGGGAGATAATTCGTATAATTCAGAATAAAGAGAGATACTTTGGTGGCCTAAACTAGATAAAGTTTATGCCATAAGGAGTAATACCAACTAGTAAGAGAATTAGTTTTATAGATGTTTTATTATGGAAAAAAAATTGAGCACCTCCTGTGCCAGATATTTTAAACACTATACATGCATTAATTATTCAGTCTTGACAACACTGTGCTGAGTACTACTCCTATTCATATTTTATAGATGGGAAAACTTAGGTACAGAGATTTTAAGAAACTTTCCCGAATTATATTCCCAGCTAGTAAATGGTGCTGGGTCAAAATTATGATCCAGTTGGTTTAGATTTAGATTCCATGAACTTAGTTTGATGCTTCAGAGCATTGTCTTGAGACCTAAGGCTTTCTACAGTGATGCATAAAACCTTAAGCCTCTGACCAGAAACTTCATATTTGAATCCTAGGGTAGGTAGGGGAGGAAAAAAATCACAGGGATCACTGGGGAAAAAAAAGGTGTGTGTGCTAGTGAGGAAAGTAGAGTGAGAAATGAGAATCTCCCAGTGTCCAAAGAGCACCTTGTGATTTGATGGAGGACATTATGGCTTAAAAGGAAAGCTGCACTTTCCTAAGGACTCTTTGTGTCTGTGTGGTTCACTAACAGTAAGATTAGCCTTTTAGAAATGTGATGGATCTACATGCCTTTATAGGTGTCATAACCACAAGTGAGAGGTTGCATAAATATAGACGATGATTTTCCAGAGAAGATCTCTTTATCCACATTTTAAAATAATGCATTTTTGTTCCTGCTAATGATATGTCTCCATGAGGACTTGCTTGGTATATATTTGTATCCCAGGAACTCCTCTGATCTATGCAGGTGATTTCAACTAAGAATTATTCCAGATTGTGGCCCCAAGACAGTGAGTATAAATGAGACACAATGGTTAACTTTATGTGTCAACTTAACCAGGTCATAGGCTTCCCAAATATTTAATTTAAACATTATTTTGCCTGTGTCTGTGAGGGTGTATATGGATAAGATTATTTGAATCACACCTATGGTATGGGCTAGTTGATCATGGTGTTCCTAGAGGTAAAATAGATAGAAATCCTATTAAATTATTCTTTGATCTATATAAGCAGAAATATTCTAGGTCATGTGAATGAAAGTCTAGCCTGAATCATAAAAATAGAGACTCAGAGCCCCTCCGTCAGTTCCCAGACCTGAGCCAGTTTGCAGACCGGGAATGAAATTCACAGACCCAGAAAGAACTCCTTGAATGAAAGGGGAGACCAGGTCTCCTTGAAGAAGGACCTGGTGCATTACCAATAATTTGTACTGTTAATCTTGCTCACAGCCTTCCTCAAAGGGACCTGCAGCCTTCTTCCAGGATACTGAGCACTGAGGA